GCATATTTAGTTTATTTTGATTCTGATTAAGTCATGAACAGAAATCAGCACAGATACATGTAAAACATTCAGTTAAGTCAAATAGATTGCACCGGCTTACCCCTTAGGTCTCTGCCTACAAGATCCTGCTTGAATCCCTATAGAGCTCCCGCAATCGCGTGGATTCCTAAGATCCCACGGAGATCACAATCGCACAGTCTACTCAGGATAAGATCCTGCTAGTTGTCCTCCTCTCAAGAAGCCGCACTGAATCAGAGTAACTGAGAGTAAGGTAAGAAAAACAAATTCTTAGACTCTCAGATATAAGGAAGATGCGCTCAAGGTCTCACGAGAGGGTCTTTACTGTGTTGGCAGCCCGGGCTCAAATACACAAAGGACAACAACGCAATGACCCCTGGCCAATCTACAACAATAGCCAATGTTGAAGGAGCCACCAACCCAATTCATAGCTGCTAACGGACCCTCCAATTCATGCCAGCGTACCCAATGAATTATTCGAAGTACCAACAGTTGAGGTTCCTTCTAGGCCTTCTCTCGCAGAGTGAATGCAAATTGTAACATGACCTCACCATCTGCACAATCAAAAAGTGGTCAACGACCCTCTTACTAATGTAGAAGCCTCCTCAAAATCAACAGTTCCTCAAAGTCAACAGTCCCAGACGACCTCAGTTAATTATAGTCGCTGTAGAGTGATGAAGATCATTAATTCCAGTATTGGCAATCAACCAACCCTCAAAACCCAATGACCTCACTCCAATCCTCACCATAAGGCTTGCGCACGCCGAACTAGGACCCTTAGTCCAGCCTACTAGCTCGCAAGGACACATGATTGTTTGGTTAACTACAATGACGGTCTAGTCAAACAACCCTCCTTACCACTAGTCAACCCTATTGACTTTAGTTGCACGTTGGCCTCAATCATTCCGCCTTATACCCTCACTCGATTAGCATCCATATATCGACAATCAACCCTTTTTTGAAAAAAGGGAGATAAACAATTGCATCAACCTTTTTTAACTACGACTAGCGCTTCCAGTTTATTACTCACCAAAGCCTGGTATCCTCGACTGTACCCCCCGCAGCGCTGCCCCTCATCGGTCGTTCCTTCCCAGATCCAAACCCGAGTCAGAAGGAAATGCACCCAACCAAAATTCCAATGGAATTCAGGCTTAATAGTGACATATTTTAACTCCGGTCTGAAGGCAGGTGGTGAAACTAATGAGCCTGACAATCACAATCGGCCTTAGACATAGCCTTGGGAATAACCTGGATCGATTACATCACGAATCACGTAATCATCGAAGCAACTATCGTCGGGCAACTAAACGTGCACTGTAAGGACGACCTGGCAACACCTCAATATTGTCACATTCCTAATCGGCATCGATCAAAACTAAGAACCAACTCAACATGGACAATGATAGGACTTGACAACATACATCATCACTTAGAGAAAGAGGGAGAAAAGGCAAAGCGGGGAAGAGGAAGATAGGGAGGACCAACCACCAAAGCCCGATGAACCCAATCTCCAATGTATCCCCAATGTCATTGCTCATACCATATCAAGTCGCAATGTCATTGAATTGGGCAATGCCCAAATATCACCAACTCTCTCTCTCTCTCTCTCTCTCTCTCTCTCTCTCTCTCTCTCTCTCTC